GTTATAGGGAAGAGGAGAGGGGGATGTTTCTGTAGTTCCCATACAGTACAATGAGTTAGCGTGTATGAGGAAATGCATTACTGGCTGGATCACCAGGAAAAAAATACAGTGAAAAAAAGAAAACAAATGCAGCCACCCCATCTAAGGGCCGGTAAACTGCAATATATTACATTTTTGTTTTTTGGATTTAGATATACTTTATTTGGAAAAAAAAAAAATTGTGTAGAATTTGGCCACCTTACCAGAAACATTATATGTGCAGTATATTCAGTTCAGAAAAGCAAATTAGACAAGCCACAAAGCCGGATCACTTTACAGCAGCCCTAAAAAGATTTGCAGCCAGCCTGGAAACACAACATTAGAACAACAAACTTCCTTAAAGTAGTAAAAAAAGATTAATGTGCGTTATATAACAAAACAAACACTGCTTGCATGCTAAGCCAAGGCAGATTAAAAAAAGAGAAACGTTAAAGCACATTTCTAGTTTTCAATGTGTACGTGCCGTACGTAGATCTGCTGGATCGACCACCACTAAGGCCAATTACATAACACAAATGGAACCAGAGGAGCCAATCACAAGTCATCATTCAATAATGGGACAGGAAGGAGAAATCTGGTCGCTTTTGGTAAGTGAACCTTTTATATCGTCCTGTTCTTTGGCTCAGTACTAGACCCAGGTCATGATTATTCATTATTTCTCCTTGCTGGACAGAATATGGGGAGCCTCTAGACCAGTCATTCTCAACCAGTGTGGTTCCCACGGGTGTCGCAGCACAATGGAAACAAAAATTCCCCAAAATTTACCATAGCCCCCAATAGAGAGGCACCAGCAAAGTGGGCCTTAGCAAGGGATGACTTATCCATCGCTATAGATGCTGTCGGCAGCCACAGTTTAAGACTGTGGCCCCCGAAAAGCGTGAATAGCGACAGATGACATCATCTATTGCTAAGACTCAGTTGGGTGCCTTGCTAGTGCCTCTCGAGTGCAGGTCCAGGGCCTCAGAGTCCTGCAGCATGCCACTATGGACTTTCAGCTCGGCACCTCTGACATCTGTAACCCTCTTTATTTTCATTCCTGGATCATTGGTCACTATTAGGTCTTTCCCTACACTATTCACCCCC